ATTACATGATATAGCATCACCGGTACTCCAAGCAGTGCATCTCACAGGGCGACTAACGGGATCGGGTGGTCAGGCTCGCTGACTTGGTTGATACATGTCATCGATCCCAATTGCGTGGATCGATGCTCAAGTTGGTAGACTAACGGGATCGAGTGGTCAGACTCGCTATCTTGGCTGATACGTGTCTTCGTATCCGAATTGCGTAGATCGATGATCATGATGTCAATCACTGGATTGTCTTGTCCAGACTCGATTATTTACAGACCGCCTTCATATAGCTGGAATATTGCTGAGTGCGGCGTTAAACAACAAACAGACACACCAAAGCATATCACTAAAATGACGAATGGAAAATTCTGAATTTGTACTCACCCGACAGAAAATCAAGGGAGCTTATGTCATGGCCTGTTTGTCCGTAATTCGTCATAAACAACTTCTCCTAAGAAACCAGTCTACCAATGGTTTGGTTTGGTTTGTTGTTTAACGCCGCACTCAGCAATGACGGCGGTCTGTAAATAATCGAGTCTGGACCAGACAATCCAGTGATTGACATCATGATCATCGATCCACGCAGCCGGGTAGCCTACTGTCTAAAGCGTTCACTCGTCACGCCGAGGTCTAAGGTTTGACTCCCGACATGGGTACAATGTGTGAAGCCCATTTCTGGTTTCTCACGCCGTGTTTTGGCTGGAATATTGCTAAAAGCGACGTAAGACTAAACTCACTCACTCACTCACAATACCATAGCCCAATGCGGAGTTAAGGAACAAACAAACAAAGAAACAAACAAACAGCTTGTGAAGAGACAATATCAGATCTGAGTGAAGAAAGTATTCTAATTTGGTTTTGATATACATAGTTATACATTTTAGGAAATATTAGTTCAGCCCATTGCTCAATGAAAGTTCTGGAGCCAGTGATTGTCCACAAAGATGTTGACACCTGTGATCTGAGGAGGAAGCGCTGATTCTAATAATGTGTTACATTAACATGTACACAGTGTGTTACATTAACATGTACACAGGCATTGTACAGAGGACCCTGGAAGATCAGGGGTAGAATAGCTCTTCAGCAACCCATGCTGCCGTGAAAGGCGACAAACGGGATCGGGTGGTCAGGCTAGCTGACTTGGTCGATGCATGTCATCGATTCCAATTGCGTGGATCGATGCTCATGATGTCAATCACTGGATTGTCTGGTCCAGACTCGAATATTTAAAGACCGCCGTCATATAGCTGGACTATTGCTGAGCGCGGCGTTAAACAACAAACAAACAAACAAGACAGAGGCCCTACAGTCCTGAATAGCGTCCAACTGACTGGTGTTTGCCTTGGCCTCGTCACGAGAAATTACCCTTGAAAACAGATGCACTGTTCGTTACAAACGCAGCAAATGGAGAAATTAAGAACACGTTCATTCGGCTTCGTCTGAAGCTGTATACCCGTGAAGATACCGGGGTAGAATAGGTCTTCAGCAACCCATGCATGCCGTAAAAGGTGGCTATGCTTGTCGTAAGAGGCGACTAACGGGATCGGGTGGTCTGGCTCGCTGACGTGGTTGATGCATGTCATCGATCCCAATTGCGTGGATCGATGCTCATGATATTAATCACTGGATTGTCTGGTCCAGACTCGATTATTTACAGAACGCCGTCATATAGCTGGAATATTGCTGAGTGCGGCGTTAAACAACAAACCAACCAACTGAAATAATAATAATCTTACAATAATACATTAGGCTGCTCAATTGTCACATATTGTGTTTTCTGAAGATGTCTGTATCCGCGTCGTTCACAAATGTGCGTACGTGTGTGTGTGTGCGTGTGTGTGTGTGTGTGTGTGCGTGCGTATGCCGTGCGCGTGTGTTTTTCAAAGGATTACGTCATACCACATCCGTGCCAGACACGGCCTTCATCGAATAATAAGAAACAACAGTGCATGACACAAAAAGAAAGCGAACCTGTTTCGATAGTATGCACTGTTTACTCCCTGATTGGCTTAAGTGAGATGTGTTTTACCATCAAATGGAACGCCTTTTCTCAACCAATATTTGAAGTAGCTATTAACATCCAGATAATGCTTTTAGATCGTTAGATGTTCATGTGTGCTGAAGATTTTTTTACACCAATACATTATCAAGTAAACGCGAGTGTGATACAGAAATAACTCACTTGTCTAGTCGTGTTTTGTCCCTGTTGCATAGTAACCAGTACGTCTTGTTAGAGCTGTAACGCCGCTTGGATTGACAATAGTGCCATGGCATTGTAGCTCATCTGGTTATAAAAACCAGCAGTATAACATTGCAACAAAGAGGGACACAGAGTTTTGATGTTCAAATATTATCTGCATAAGTACTAACACTGTCGTAAGAGGCGACTTTGCTTGTCGTAAGAGGCGGCTAACGGGATCGGGTGGTCGGGTTCGCTGATTAGCCATCGGATCCCAATTGCCAGGATCGATGCTCATCATTTTAATCACTGGATTGTCTGGTCCAGACACGATTATTTACAGACTGCCGTCATATAGCTGGAATATTGCTGAGTGTGGCTTTAAACAACAAACAACCTATCACTAACACTGAAATCTAATGATTTTAAATAAACAAAGCGGCAAAAGCCTTTCCATATGCAATCTGCATAAAGCTGAGTCGATTGTACGTTTCTGACTATATCATGAACACGTGTTTATGAATCACTGTCCAATAGTAATGATACCAGGTGTTCCCGAAAAAAGGTCAGCGTATCCTGCCCTACTGGTTGCACCTGTCACAAACACATGCAAATGCAAGTCCATTGTTCAACTGAATAAAACAGGGGAACATATGGTACAAGTCAAAATAGAGATTGTATCGGACATCATTTGTGTCACAAATGCCTCAAAATTTGGAAATGTCCTTCACATGTCTACCATAAAACATTTTGAAAGCTTTGTAATCTTGATCAAACAACTTCTGAGCAAGACCCGTATTAACCACATGATGTCACCATCAGCAGAAAAGTGTTTTCACTTGTCAATTAGACCCCTGAAGATGCTGGTTAGAATAGGTCTTCAGCAACCCATGCTTGCCGTAAAAGGCGACTATGTTTGTCGTAAAACGCGACTAACGAGATCGTTTTGTAAGGCTCGCTGACTTGGTTGAAGCATGTCATCGATCCCAATTGCGTGGATCGATGATCATGATGTCAATCACAGGATTGTCTGGTCCAGACTCGATTATTTACAGACCTCCGTCATATAGCTGGAATATTGCTGAGTGCGGCGTTAAACAACAAACAAACACACTTGTTAATTAACTCGCCTTTTTACTCACCATAGCGTAATATGGCAAATATCCATAAAATCGATATTGAGCATTTACCGATATATTGCACTATAGAACTCTAAGATCACCTCAGAAAATTATATTTTTATGCTCGGGTGATATGAGACAAAATACAGTAATACATGATATGTCTAATTTTATGATTTGTCAATATGGCAATCGTACGGAAGCCTTTGAGGGCCATTTGTTTATTTCTTTTTTTCGATACTATCTTGTTATTTCAAGTAACTAAGTTGAAATTTCAAGATACTAAGTTGAACTTTCAAGATACTAAGTTGAAATTTCAAGTTATTATCTAGAAATTTATACTTTTTATCTTGAAATTTAAAGTTAGTATCTAGAAATTTCAACTTTGTATCTTGAAATTTAAAGATCATTATCTTTAAATTTCAACTTATATATCCTGAAATTTCACTTTATGTATCTTGAAATTTCCACATAATATCTTGAAATTTCAATACAAAAATATTTAAAAAAACAAATGGCCCCAAAAGGCTTCCGTACAATCGCTCAAATTAAACATATTGGAGCAAAGACATTCTTATGGCTGTTTTAAACACACTGTCGTCGATATATTAAATATAAAATATTCCAAACCTTGTCTCCTATTGTTTCCTTTAAGTACGCTTCATCTCTTACTCATGGCTGTCTTACCAGCAAGTACGTCGTGCAGAGTCTGGGGTATGACGTGGACGTTTTGAAATGTGACGTTTTCACACAATAGCCGACCATCTTGCTCCCTCAATTAGACATCGATTTATATTGTTTGTTTGTTTGTTTTAAACGCCGCACTCAGCAATATTCAATCTATATGACGTCGGTCTGTAAATAATCGAGTCTGGACCAGACAATACAGTGATTGACATCATGAGCATCGATCCACGCAATTGGGATCGATGACATGCTTCAACCAAGTCAGCGAGCCTGACCACCCAAATCCCGTTAGTCGCCTTTTACGACAAGCATGGGTTGCTGAAGACCTCTTCTACCCCGGATCTTCACGGGTCAAATAACCACTTGAGCTACACTACCATGTCATTATTGTCAGTCCAATAGGCGCTACTCCACATCGAGCTAGCTTGAAGACTGAAGAAGACGTTGTAGTGAGTGAGTGAGTTGGGTTTAACGCAGCTTTTAACAGTATTCCAGTTATATCACGGCGTGTCAGCTTAATGTTGGAGGAAAGCCTGAAGTGATGCAGGTCTCAGACGTTTACCACTTCGGTGAAACCCACGGGTATGGTGCTAACAAACCTGGAAACATAATCGGGACGAACCAGGATTCGAACCCACAATCATAGGTTCCTGGCGTGCCCAAGGGACGCAACTCTGCACAGCGAATCGCGGCGCCTTAGACGACTTGGCCATGACTATAAGCTTCTGACATAAGTAGGTCACAGATTACTAAAATTGAGCACAATAACTAATTCACCGAATGGATATAATTCAATGTCTAGGATATACATTTATTCAGATTTTGATATAATTCAATGTCTAAATAAATGAATATCCTAGACATTGAATTATATCAATTCGGTTAATTAGTTATGATGCTTACAGACCAAAGATCACATTCGCGTTAGATAGACGAGGAATATCTTCATGTCAGAGATAAGAAATTCATTAATCACAAATTGAACAATGCCATTATCCACTCAACATAATCAATGAAACGACCAGTTAAGAAATGACGTACAGTTTTATTCAAAGGGGATATACCTTTTCATTGGGTACACTGTGTGTGGATGATAAAAACAGTTTGATTCATGTCTGTCTTCAAGAACTGAAAATCGTTTGGAACCTTCAAGGATATATATTGCATGTGTCCTTCAAACATTTGGGACTGCCAACAACTTGCAGACATCTATGCCTCACAACTGTAATGGCATTCGATTGGATCAATACAAATTGTTGAAAAAGGATTTCCAGCAAATTCGTGAGTAAAGAGCGTAGCTGAAGTCTTCAGCTGCAACATCGATTGTATATCTGCAAATAAATCAATTTTTGGCAATAAATATCTGCAGTTGACAGAGTGGCATACGAAATTGATGACAATTATTAAATCGACAATTTATGACACATGATTAACCAAGCAGCCGAGCCTGATAGATAACTCAATCAATCAAGTCGCCACGTACCACAAGCAGACATGTACGTTGCTGCTGCCCTAACCTGGTGTCGACCCGTGAAGATCCGGGGTAGAATAGATCTTCAGCACCCACTGTTTGCCGTTTGCTTGTTTGTTTGTTTGTTTGACGCCGCACTCAGCAATGTTCTAGCTATATGACGGCGGTCTGTAAATAATCGAGTCTGGACCAGACAATTCAGTGATTGAGCATCGATTCACGCAATTGGGATACGATTACATGCATCAACCAAGTCAGCGAGTCTGACCATCCGATCCCGTTAGTCGCCTCCTAAGGCATGTATGGGTTGCTGAAGACCTATTCTACCCCGGATCTTCACGGGTCTCTAGCTATTTGTAATCAGGTAACTGTTAAGTCCTCGAGATCATGTCTAGACATATTCTGTGTGTGAAAATATTGTGTTCCCATACCATTGCAAAAGTGGTCTAAAATAAGTTATGTACAAACAGGAGAATATTAATATTTTCCTTACGTTGTTTGATTTTATACCGGAATCTCACACAAGGGGTACCTTGCTTTCACACATTCATTACTTCGTATTTCCCAAGAGGTCAGGATTCCGCATGCGTTGTAGCCCTTGTAAAACCTAGCATGGCTCTTTGCTTCTTCCTTGATGTAGGTAGAACCGTCCGTCCAGGCATACGATGATTCACTCCACATCTCCAGACCGAGCCATGCAACTGTGAAATACGAGGCGGAAAAAAGGTCGCTCTGTACCAAGGATAAGATTATGTGTTGCAAAAAGTGAAACGGAGGAGCTTTGTTTGTTTGTTTGTTTGTTTGTTTGTTGTTTAACGCCGCACTCAGCAATATTCCAGCTATATGACGGCGGTCTGTAAATAATCGAGTCTGGACCAGACAATCCAGTGATTTTATATCATGAGCATCAATGAACGCAATTGGGATCGATGACATGCATCAACCAGGTCTGCGAGCCTGACCACCCGATCCCGTTAGTGAGTAAATGAGTGAGTGAGTGAGTTAAATTGTAACGTCGCATCGGCATTATTTCAGCCATATAGCGACGAAACCAAGTTATTATGTTTACAATTGAGTCATTTATGCAAGGATACATTTACATTTATGAAACGTATTTGAGCATTACAATATTATATATACAGTTTTAAAACACGGGCAAAAGGCCACCAGTAACCAAAGCTAGGCCACCTCGCTGGGGATCATGGGGACTAACAGTACCTGTGCTTCCTGCATGATACCCCAGCAGGATTTACGTCATCACTTTAGCTACTGGTGTTTGTGCACAATACTAGCCAATATAAAAAAAAATACTCAGCAATGAGTTGCCTTTAAAACACTGGTTGATGATAGTTACATCAATTATGACAGGATTACGTGTCACACAGGGGGACAATGATTTTACGATACTTTAACCCCCATAACATTATTTATAAATAATAAAATTCGTTTCTCACAAAGACTTTTTTGCTTTATGTAAGAAAGGATGTAGTCGTAGTTCTCATCTGTGTTGAGGATCATCAGGCGCCCGCCCTCGCTCTGACACAGAGCTCGACTCTCCGCCCAGTTCATTTTGACATCGCTCAGCTTGTAACACAAGCGTGGAGACAGGACTGATGTGTAGCCTTGAGACACGGGACACGGGTCTGGTGTTGGTAGAGCTGTAACAAAGTCATGTGATCAATTCAGACCGTTATAACAGTAGTCCAAAGCAATAATTGGTTGGTTGGTAGGTTTGTTGTTTAACGCCGCACTCAGCAATATTCCAGCTATATGACGGCGGTCTGTAAATAATCGAGTCTGGACCAGACAATCCAGTGATTAATTTCATGAGCATCGATCCACGCAATTGGGATCGATGACATGCATCAACCGAGTCAGCGAGCCTGACCACCCGATCCCGTTAGTCGCCTTTTACGACAAGCATAGTCGCCTATTACGGCAAGTATGGGTTGCTGAAGACCTATTCTACCCCGGAATCTTCACGGGTCCCAAAGCAATGAATTGCGTGTAGAATATACACTGTGTTTTAACCAAAACAGGACCAATTGTCTCAGTATACACTGTTCCACAAGAGGGGCTCATAGTAGATATGATTAAAAAAAATGCATTTATATTAATTTTAGGGCCTCATGTTTTGAATCATGCTTGGCATTGTTGATATTGGAATATGCTACAATGTCTTTCAGTGCCAAATGTTAGGTATAACATATGTTCCTAATGGCAGTTAGATACGAAGCAGTACAGTGATGTTATGTAATCTGTTCTAGCAATGCTTGTGTCGACGATGGATAGTGCAATAACTAGATTATCACATATTTGCTTTGTGTGATAGCTGAAGTAACTAGGAAACCACTTCATGGATTTCCGATACAGTTTTTGTTAAAACAGTAGGAATGGTGCTGTGCAAAGATTGATTTCGATAAATGGATTTTATGAGAAAATATTGCTTTTTTCATGGCAAGAGTTCCGTATCTGGCAAAGCTTGCCGATAATGCGCCGGTGTATATTTGAATCATGCCATTACTATGTTATATTACTGTGCTTTGTACGAGAAACCGGCTCCAAACGTTAAGCAATCAAAATATCTCCAATATCAAAATTGTTCTTGTTGATGTTGGAATCGAGGCCGGGTATATTAGTTTTGTTTCTTTGTTTGTTGTTTACATGCGCATTGTTGGATACGTGTTGGATTAAACTTTGGGGGAAGCCCAAACAAACGCCAACGGTGTGTTTGTTTGTTTGTTTGTTTGTTTGTATTTTAACAAAAATGTTCCAGCTACATGACGGCGGTCTGTAAATAATCGAGTCTGGACCAGACAATCAAGTGACAGTGACATCGCTCCACGCAATGGGGAGACGATGACATGCATCAACCAAGTCAGCGAGCCTGACCACCCGATCCCGTTAGTCGCCTTTTGCGACAAGCATAGGGTATATTAGTGTGCCCTGCACACGTTTTGCTTTGTTTAGTGATGTTTTATACGAATCGGAAATGGTGTATGCATATATACACAACTTGCTCTGTAAGGTTCAAGGAGTGTCGAGTGCGTTAATTACAGAGACAGCTAGTCATTCTCTTTAACCATCGCTTGGCCCTCTGAATTATGGGCTGTGCTTTGTACACTTCATCGTTAACACATGTGACCTATCTGTTGTGGCCTCAGTAGTAACGGTTTGTCAAGTGCAACGACTAGAATACCTTAATTCATTGGATAAATATATTTTAACCCCTTCTGCCAATCTGGGTGCGGCTTGCACACGTCTCACTTTGTCCTGAAGGCTACTCCCCCCTGACCTCTATGTGTTGATACATCGATGCTTTACTGTCCTTTGTCGACAGGTAATTAAAAATACCTAACTTGTTCTCATCGCGACACGGATGCAATATTTTAACTTACTTGATAACCTAGTTACAGTACAATGAGAAAGAAAAGATTCTATTTAACATCACACTGCAAGCACGAAAACGTCGTTTTTTTCCTTATATGGTCATTGGACGGAAAAAACGACGTTTTTTGGACGCTTTCAAACCTTCCTTCTTCAGCGATCAGTGTTTATCCCAACCAACAGTAGATTTTAACAGTACAAAGAACAATCCTGAAAAACTTTGTTTACTCAGTACTCAGAAAACACAGCATTAGGGTGAATGAGTTACAATTTAACGTCACTTCGGCGTTATTTCAGCCATATAGAAACCACAGCATTAGGGAACTGAACTATCCTTTTGTGTGGCTGTCATGATTTTACTTTTACATGATATTACCATGTTTAGACGAAGGCTGTTTGAGCACATGCGCATCTATTGATATAAAGAAAGTGCCTGCCTATTCGACTTCAAACATATAACGACTACAAGGACATGAAACCAATGTGCTTAGTAATCTATGACGTTTGGCTTTCAGAACACCCAATAACCTATTCGTCTTTATCATATATGTTCACAACCTTGGAATCTACAAGTATGCCAGCAAACGTTTGTGTTTCACAAAAGTTTACATGCATTATCAGATCCGCAATATTTGAAACAAACTGCAAATTATGAACATTTAGTGTTGATTTGACGCTCATACATAGGGTGTAGACAGAAAACAGAGAACAATATCAGTGCTCATAAACCCTAAGTGAGCGCATTAAAATTTGAAGGCAGTATTGCAGCCATATTGTGACTATTATATGTTTTACACAAGAAGTACAATTAGACTATATGTTAACTTGTCCACAAAGGACAGTAAAATAACTAGACTTATAATATACTTAAGTGTCAAAGTTTTCCTAAGTTGAGAAAAGTGACATTTTAATTGCAGTGAACATAATTGATATTTCACGGCAGTAAACAAAAGATTTGATACTTCACTGCCGTGAACATGACACTTTGACGGAACTATAGTCATACAAGAGTGATCTCCCCTCAAACTGTCTCCCCCTATCGTAAACACCTGGCCCCAACACAAACTGTTGTCCTCCTTTTAACGTTACTTCAACACTGACAAGGCAAAATAATAACAGATGGTCATCTATGGAGTTAATATCTCTTTATGCCGTTTGTTATTCTCTTATGATGCGCGATTTTTGTGACTTGACCGGCCTGTATTCTTCCAATTCCAACAGCGGTCTCGAAGTTTACAAGCATATTTTTTGTTAAAGTTGATTTTGTATGTAATCATATCTTTATGCATGATATAGAATTTTCGTGACCCTAAATATTTTGTGTTACTTTTGAAAATATATCTTAAGATTTTGTAAACATGAAACTACCTTTTTAGTCGCAAATACAAGGGGTGGTGAGTGAGAATTTACATTTAAAGGTTTTACATTTGTATCGAAATAATTTAATTTTCCGGTAGACAAATACACAAAAAAAGTATATAAAAAATAAGATATTCCATGTGTCTCGTGAAATAACTTGTTAATCTCGTGCCGGGGGAAAAGGAGATTTTGTGGGTACGCCACTCGTGAAAATATCTCCTTTCCCCCCGTCACTTGAGAGAAACGTGATATTTCACTCGACACATGAAATATCCTCCATTTATCATATATGTAAATTTACCATAAAAATATATCGCTGTACATATCAATACATTACAATATACATTATTAACAACAGGCTATAGATCACCGAGCTCAATTTCATGAATTTCTGACACTCGTAACATCGGAGTGGAATTGGGACATAAACGTCCACTCCGAAGTTAAAGAAACCATCCTTGATTGATTTAGGAAGAGTTGAAATCTTGAAAGTGAAAAGGTAGGTCTGAGTATTTGCTTTATTTCCAGACTTAACTGTAGTGGCTCCTTGATTTGTCACTTCAATTGTTTTTTTCAGACCCGTGAAGATTCCGGGGTAGAATTGGTCTTCAGCAACCAATGCTTGCCGTAAAAGGTGATTATGCTAGTCGTAAAAAGTGACTAACGGGATCGGGTGGTCAGACTCGCTGACATGGTTGATGCATGTCATCGATCCCAATTGCGTGGATAGATGCTCATGATATTTATCACTGGATTGTCTGGTCCAGACTCGATTATTTACAGACGGCATATATTTCAGCTATATGACGGCGGTCTGTAAATAATCGAGTCTGGACCAGACAATCCAGTGATTGACATCATGAGCATCAATTCATGCAATTGATAGCTAGGTTTGTGAGTTATCATACCAGTGGACTCACTGAATTGTAAAACCATTCTCAACCACTAGTAAAAAATATCTACAATAAGTATCTAATATATATTATTATATTATGTGCTATTGCAACTTATACAGACACAGTTTTTTGTTTGTCGTTTAACACCGCACTCAGAAATATTCCACCTATATGACCGCGTTCTGTAAATAATTGAGACTGGACCAGACAACCAAGTGATTAACATCATGAGCATCGATCCGCCCAATTGGGATACGATGACATGCATCAACCAAGTCAGCGAGTCTGACCACCCGATCCCGTTAGTCGCCTTTGACGGCAAGCATGGGTTGCTGAAGAACTATTCTAGCCCGGATCTTCACAAGTCTGTTGTTAGTGAAAGAAAAGAAGAAATGTCAGGCTGGTTCAGCCCATGGCATTTTCCTATAAAACACAGCATCATCAGACTCGCCCATGCGCCACCGCCTTCTGGCATAGGACTCTAGGCAAAATATAAATTTACATCAGTAACGTTGTCATATTTCATGATAAACTCTTTTATATATGATATTTCTAAATACAAGTTTACCATGCACAGGGCATGACGTCATCAGCCGTTTTTTTAGAATCGGGTTAATTCTACCACACATATAGATGAAGTGAGCTTTGAAATGGTGTGTTGGGCTAAGGAAACACCTGTTCCAGATTCCCGTCCTCCGCCGACACAGTGGCGCACGGCAAACGGGATGCCCAATACGGTCGCCTCTTACGACCAGCAATGGTGTGCTGAAGACACATTTTACCCAGGGCATTAAATCATAACAGTTTGTGAACAGACAATATCACATCTGAAAAACAAAGTTTTCTTATTCTTTTTAAGAATTAACTGCTCACCCCCTTGTTTAATGAATGTTCTGGCCCCCGCGGTTGTCGTCTCCGTTGATGACACTGATGATCTGTAGATGAAGCATTCATCCTGACAGGATGTTGCAGCAACACAGAGGGCGTCCTTTGAACAGAGGGCCACACAGTCAAGTTTGCTTCCAGATTGATTAGTGCTCACCTCGTCGGCCTTCAGGTCGTCAAGAGTAACTACCCTTGAAAACAAATGTCTCGATGAAGTGTTCATTGCAAACGCAGCAGAGAGGAAAAGGTAGAAAACGTGAAGCAACTCATTCATTCTTCTTCGTCTTGAAGTAGCTGTAGCACCAGCCTTCGTATTGAAGTAGCTGTGGTACCAGCCTTCGTCTTGAAGTAGCTGTAGTACCAGCCTTCGTCTTGAAGTAGCTGTAGCACCAGCCTTCGTCTTGAAGTAGCTGTAGTACCAGCCTTCGTCTTGAAGTAGCTGTAGTACCAGCTGTCGTCTTGAAGTAGCTGTAGCACCAGCCTTTGTCTTGAAGTAGCTGTAGCACCAGCCTTCGTCTTGAAGTAGCTGTGGTACCAGCTGTCGTCTTGAAGTAGCTGTAGTACCAGCCTTCGTCTTGAAGAAGCTGTAGTACCAGCCTTTGTCTTGAAGTAGCTGTAGTACCAGCTGTCGTCTTGAAGTAGCTGTAGCACCAGCTGTCGTCTTGAAGTAGCTGTTGCACCAGCCTTCGTCTTGAAGTAGCTGTAGTACCAGCCTTCGTCTTGAAGTAGCTTTAGTACCAGCTGTCGTCTTGAAGTAGCTGTAGCACCAGCCTTCGTCTTGAAGTAGCTGTAGTACCAGCCTTCGTCTTGAAGTACCTGTAGCACCAGCCTTCGTCTTGAAGTAGCTTTAGTACCAGCCTTCGTCTTGAAGTAGCTTTAGTACCAGCCTTCGTCTTGAAGTACCTGTAGCACCAGCCTTCTTCTGTTTCAGCCTCGTTCACAAACAGTATCTGTTATACATATTAACCTCCTCCTTCTTCTGAGGCCTAACTGGCTATGTTGCTTATTCGGATGACATAATGCACGACCAAACTGGTTGAGTAGCATGCACTGTTTGACATGACCGAGAAAACCTGTTTTTCTCAACCAATATGTGTAGTTATCACGAGATCCAATATTATTGATCATTAGTTCTTACCATGTTCATATGTGCTAAAGACGTTTCACACAAATCATTATCAGGTTTAGCCAAGTCTGACATCTAGAAACAAAGTGCCTGGCTAGTAGACACACCAGAGTGATACAGAAATAAATCAGTTGTCAAAACACGTTGTGTCAGTGTTGCTCAGTTACATCATCTTCTGGGGGTACGGGTGGCCTAGTCGTCTAAGGTGCCGCGATTCGCTGTGCAAATTTGCGTCCCTTGGGCACGCCAGGAACCTATGATTGTGGGTTCGAATTCTGGTTCGCCCCGATAATGTTTCTAGGTTTAATTTGTCAGCACCATACCCGTGCTCGTGGGTTTCACCGAAGTGGTAAACGTCTGAGACCTGCATCACTTCGGGCTTTCCTCCCACATTAAGCTGACACGCTGTGATACAACTGGAATACTGTTAAAAGCTGCGTTAAACCCAACTCACTCACTCACTACAACGTCTTCTTCAGTCTTCAAGCTAGCTCGATGTGGCATAACGCCTATTGGACTGGCAATAGTGACATGGTAGTGTAGCTCAGGTGGTTAAACAAAGATTAAACACAACACAAGAGTGATTGGTCATCAGCATTCATGTACCGTCCCATACACACAAAGATTAAACACAACACAAGAGTGATTGGTCCTCATCAGCATTCATGTACTGGCCCATACACACAAAGATTAAACACAACACAAGAGTGATTGATCCTCATCAGCATTCATATATCAGCCCATACACACAAAGATTAAACACAACACAAGAGTGATTGGCCATCAGCATTCATGTACCGGCCCATACACACAAAGATTAAACACAACACAAGAGTGATTGGTCCTCATCAGCATCCATGTACCGGCCCACACACACAAATATTAAACACAACAAAAGGTTATACTCACACACGTTTACATAACTTCAGTCCATCGCTCAGATGTAACACTAAACAAGACAGGGTAGGCCCGTCACAGAGTGGGGAAATGGAGGGATGGCAACGTGCCTCAGTCAACTTCAAAGTCCGCACTGCTCTGCTAGTGTCAGAGATATCTGTTTAAGGTGATCGAGCCTGCCCTTTCCTTTTAACATGTCACAATACATCAAAGTAGTTCGTTAAAAACTATATCGGTCCATGAACTTACGTGTCTCGTAATCGGTAATATCCTGTGAACTTCTGACCGATTCGTCATCCCTTTATTGATGTCCTGCATCGCCCTGTTTTCTATTATGAAAGTGAATCTGTTTGAATGGCACCGACAGTCTCGAAACAATCACGCCAAAAACATAGGTCTATCAATTCCCTGTATTTGTTCTTCAAGTTTCATACCGTATGTGGCCATCGCGTTTTATCCACCAATGAATGAATCTTTCGTGACAGTGATCATTATTTGAAGGCTTTGGTATGCATTTGCACTTAATAACACTATTCACGTCTATTACATTACTACCATATTTGTTGGAACAAAGAAGTTGGCATAGCTTTTCAAACGGTCGGTCCCTAACACAACCAGTATTGTGCACAATCACAATGACACACCAGCATACGCAGCACAGATCACCAGCAATTAACGTTGTCAGCATACTGGAATCTTTAGGTCAGTGCCTTTTTTTTGAAGAACTATAGATACCCAAGGAGGATATACACCATTCCCTTAGTTGCTGGTACTTTGCACATGGCAGCCGTGGATGGAAGGGGTCACATGGCGCCAGGACCACGTAACATTAATTATTTCTACCTTGGTCAATGTCATCTTCTCCATTCTGAGACATCAAGGAGATGATCATAAGTCTGATGGTTATGCATTCATTAACATTTTAACGTTGTTGCTGTAATGTTTTCATGACTTACAGTTTAGAACTTAACAGCAAGTACTCAAGGAAGAAAGGAAGCTTGTTAACTTTGCGAGTGTAAAACATCACGTGTTTGTTTTACATATATGTAAGATACTTTTTCGCAGTATGGAGTGGATACACTTGAAAGGCTACCGAAAAGCTATAATGTTATGTTTCACCTTATTTGTTATGTCATTCGTTGCTTTCTTGTATTGTTTTGCAAATTGTATTGAGAAGCCGCCACAGAGATCGGAAAATGACCAGGAAACGAACCTGAAGACACCATAGCGAATTTATTATACCGAAAAGAAGTACACTATTTAGTATGTCAAAATATAAACTTGATACTTACAACAGAAATAATTGACAGGACCAGTCCGATTCAAAGCTTTAATGTGAACACAAACGTTAACAATGGAATATACAATACACTTAACGCGAAAACGTTTTAACAAGTATTATTCTAAAATAGATAGAATTATCTCAAAATGTCTGCATGTGATCAGAAATCTGGAGGCCACTGTAACCTAATTGCAGTCCGCTTTTCCCTAACGATGGGCTGCTATCTTTTCTTTTCTATTGCTATGTGACGCCATTGACCTCACGTTTCCTGTTTGTGACGTCATCCTATATTATGTTCTATGACGTTGCTATTTGGAATTCCGTGCCCTCCGTTGTTAGTCTTTTTCTCTTTAGTTTTTGTCAATAAAGTCACAAACGTGGTTTCCTTTGAAATAAATAATGTTTTTGCACATCACCATTAATAATTGTAAAACACAAAACAGGAAGGAAAAAAGAATTTCTGTACCAGAACTTTCAAGTGAAAATCCAAAATGGCTGTTACTGACGGTATATCGTCTCATATTAGGTCAGTATCAACCATGTTTACTGACGGTACATAGGTTGACATGGGGTTAGTAGTTCTGCTATCTGATTGGTCAATCTCACTTTGCGGCATAATAATTAAAGTTATGGGGTCACCCAAACAAATCCAGTTTGAACATGACCCACAACCTAATTATGTTATGAAAAATGAATTTTTTTGAATATTTGACCTAGCAGTACATCTGCAAAATACATAACTATAAAAGAATATTTATCTTGATTTAGGTAATTCTAAGTGAGAAAATGGCAAAAAATAATTCCACACTTTTTTTCTTCTTTGGCATCTCGTTATGTCTCTTATTTCATTAAAAAAACATGTCTCCACAAATATCAACTCAAGTGGTCAATAAAATGCCGACGAAATATTGTTGTATTTATTGAAATATGCTGTACAGGGCAAATCTTTTGTTTGGGTTGTAAGAATAAAATGCGATAACATTTGCAAAGCAGTGTACGATCAACTGGACCACAAAACATGTACAGCTTGCTCTGCACCCTCAATCAGACTTACATTCTCAGAAGCACTTGGCATGAGTTAAAAGCCTGTGATAGTGTTGTCGACAAAAGTCCATAGCCATGTGCTTCTGATCTTACCAATCCCACAGACTAACATCTAGTCTCTGAAATGAGTGAGTGAGTGAGCTGGGCTTAAGGCTGCGTTTAGCATCATTCCAGTTATATCACGGCGTGTCAGCTTAATGTGAGAGGAAAGCCCGAAGTGATGCAGGTCTCAGACGTATACCACTTCGGTGAAACCCACGAGCACGGGTATGGTGCTGACAAACCTAGAAAGATAATCGGGGCGAACTGGAATTTGAACCCCAAATTATAGGTTTCTGGCGTGCCCATGGACGCAACTCTGCACAGCGAATCGCGGCGCCTCAGACGACTAGGCCACCTGTGTCCTCTCTGAAATGAACATATCTTACAAAAAAAACAGTTATACAATTTAATAAAAAGGAGCCCAGAGACTTTCTTCATTTTCACCCTAATACTGCAGTAATCTAGACTTGCCAAATATTATAAACGTGTAGGGGCTGTAATTGATATATTTGTTTTAGGATCTGCATGACAGACCCTCTGCCACATACAGACCCAATATTGGCGAATCCAGTCTCTGTGTCAGAAGTGAAAAATGTAGTAAAAGACGCGAAGATCAAGAAAGCACCAGGCCCTGATCTGGTCACTAATGAGCATATTAAGTACGCTAGTTCTCTATTGCATAAACACCTCGCACATATGTCCAACTTGATTATACGTGAATGCTATCTGCCTGGAGGTATGCGAAAAGGAATGATTATACCCTTATACAAAGGGAACAACAAAGACAGATCCGATCCAACGAACTATAGAGGTATAACGCTCACTTCATCTATCGGGAAGATCTTTGAAAGGATTCTGTTAAACAGACTAGAAGTATACATGACTATGCAAAATCCAACATTTCCCAACAGACTTCAGTGTGGATTTAGAAAAGAACATGGAGCTACAACTGCTATTCATGTACTGAAGGAAGTGGTCTCAAACCATGTAGAGAGAGAAACGAGAGTATATGCTGTATTCCTAGACAATGAAAAAACGTTTGACCAATCTGGCACGATGGACCTCTACTAAAACTCTTCGAATACGGAATACATGGTCGTGCGTGGCATGTGATACATCACTCGTATCACGGATCAACAGCCTGTGTGAGATATGATGGCTATACCAGTGACTTCTTCCAAGTCCAACAAGGTGTTGGCCAAGGCCGAGTTTTAACAGCATGGATGATTCTCATCGATATTGATGGCTTGATAACTAACCTAGACACCAACAAAAATGGTCTTATCATTGGAAGTGAACATGTAACTACAGTATTACTGGCAGATGAAAGCCCGAAGTGATGCAGGTCTCAGACGTATACCACTTCGGTGAAACCCACGAGCACGGGTATGGTGCTGACAAACCTAGAAAGATAATCGGGGCGAACTGGAATTTGAACCCCAAATTATAGGTTTCTGGCGTGCCCATGGACGCAACTCTGCACAGCGAATCGCGGCGCCTCAGACGACTAGGCCACCTGTGGCCAAGGCCGAGTTTTAACAGCATGGATGATTCTCATCGATATTGATGGCTTGATAACTAACCTAGACACCAACAAAAATGGTCTTATCATTGGAAGTGAACATGTAACTACAGTATTACT